GAGGCGGGAGGCGTGAGCGGAGGCCGTGAGCGGCGGCGTGCGCGGGAGGCGTGAGGCGGAGCGCGCGAGCGGAGGCGTGAGCGGAGGCGTGAGCGGCGGCGTGCGCGGAGAGGCGTTGAGCGAGGGCGTGAGCGGAGGCGTGAGCGCGAGGCGTGACGAAGAGGAGTGAGCGGAGGCGTGAGCGGCAGGCGTGAGAGCGAGGCGTGAGCGGAGGCGTGAGCGGCGGCGTGCGCGATCTCTCTCTGGACGCCTCCGCTCACGCCTCCGCGCACGCCGCCGCTCACGCCTCCGCTCACGCACCGCCATGCACACGGCGCATGCGCCAGCGCTTCAAAGAGAGGGAATCATCGATTGTCGTTTGGAGGGCTAAACAAATAGTTCAAACCATGTTCTTTCCAAATATTGTCAGGAAGTCTGGATGACCCTGTAATTCTTATTTAAATGTCATATTGAGCATGAGACACGCCCCCTTTTTTGACACTGCATTTTACAAGTAGGGCTATTTTTTTGTAATTTTGAACGTAGGTTAATTTGGGATAAAAAGGGATCCTAATCCTAATAATCATTCCTGCATGTTAATTTGATCATCCTTTGCCATTCCAACCACGTTCACCATCATAAATTCACCCTCCCTTATTTCTGGATCAGAAGACTATTACAGTTTCCTATGTCAGATACAGGTTTTAATAATGAAGTCAATACCATTCTAACCATTGCATAATTAAATTAATTACCATTAAATAATGGTTATGATCCTCTTTCCATCAACAAATTTATCAGTCAAAAAGGAGTAAAAATTATTTTGAATAAAGGTTTTCCTCAACATTGTCTTGTAGAACCTAAGAAACTTATTTCCAACCCCAACATAGTATTTAACCGCCCAGTATTTAACAAATAGTACAATGCTTTACTAAACACAATATTTCAGTGACTTAAAATACTTTAAACTCTCTCCTATCGTAATTCCATTGTTTCAAATCACGTATTCCGTCATTGAAAGAAGTGGCATTTATTCCCTCGCTTGTAAAGACTGTGATTCTGATTAGACCAAACAAGCAGAACGTTTTCATGCAAAATCAATTAACATATTAGATATTGGAAACAAAATTTAGACACTTCCAGTTTTGCCAATCATTCGATTAAATTTAACAGTTCCATTGACCCTAATTATAACTCTAAAATCCCTCACTTAGACAAAAGGCAAAAAGGTGAATATTTTGGAGAATTTTGAATTTTTAAAACTTCAAAAATCTTCACTTTTCTATCCTGAATGATTTTATATCCTGAAAATTCTTTAATTTAAAATTTTCCCATTTATACATTTTTATTGTCTTGCCGTCAACTATTCTTTTTTACTTACAACCATTCTTAATTATCCTTCAAAATTCTCCACTTTGTCAACTAGATAAAAATATGCACTTTTGGTATTAAATTTTGTTTTTCAAAATCCTAATTTTCGGTGCTGAATGAACATTCTTGAATGAAAAGCAGTCAATTTTATATCTTTATATCTTTTTATGACTATCTGATACTTCCACAACCTTTACTGTGTCATATTCTGTTACTACCACCACGTTCATCAGTGTGAACAAGAAGTATACAGTAACAAAATAAGCTCCACTTTCATCAAAATCGTTCCACTAACATACACAATTGACTTGGTTGCAGCTGATGTGACATTCCTTGTTACTGGCATAAGCCCCTTAATTGAATTAGTGAATGAATGAATAAATGAATAAGTGGATAGGAAATGAACTGAAGTAGTATATGAGTAAATGAAATACGAGATGAGGAACTCACCCAATGAGTGAATAAGTGAGCGAATGAGTGAATAATTGAGCGAATAAGTGAGCGAATGAGTGAATAAGTGAGTGGCATTGCCTTGCAGGCAGGAGGTGGCGGCGGCGCAGAGCAGCGCGTCGGAAGGCCGCGAGAGTCGGGCGGGCGGGTGCAGCCACGAGGGCGGGTGCAGGCGCGTCAGCAGGTAGAGGCCGGCCGCCGTGGCCAGCAGCGACGCGCCCGCCGCCGCCCACATCCCGGGAGAGAAGGGCTCCAGGAAGCTGTGCCAGCGAGGCTGCTCCGTGCCCAGGTGGCGCACGAACAAGCTCGTCCTGTAACCACGGGACGCCGTTTGCCACGCACTACTGGCAAAAAACATCGTTGGCCACTGGCTGCTGTCTCTGTTGTCGATCCCCATACGGTAAGAAAAACTTTTACTATTCGAAAACACCCTGGTGTTTCCGCGACAGGGGATTGAATTTGGAAATTTATTCCCTATTAGAGGTAAATATGAGGAAGGGATTTCTTTAGGGTGATTTGGGGGGGGGTGTTCGGAATTTTCACTGTATTACAATTTAAAAAATAGCAGACAGTGCACCGGGCACTGTCTCCGCCGGTCCAAGTTATAAAGCTCCCGGACTAGTCTTCCAACATGTGTGTTAGTGTATTGTTTATGAGAGTAAGTATCTGATGTGTGTGAGGGAAGCGAATACGACCAGGACGAGGATGGGAAGATCGCGCGCGATCGCTTGTCTCTTTTACAAAGATGCTGCTCTGGCATTTGCCTAGTATTGATCATAGAAACGACGGAAAACAGCAGATCAGGGTAGCTGCCTTCTAGAATCTCCTCCAGACAGCGACTGAATTCGGCCTAGCTGAAAAGCTGCTAGCTAGTGTCGAAAACCCTTCCACCGTCTGGAGTCCAAGCTAGACACCTCCCGGTCAGAAGCCCTGCAGTGCTGTTAGGGATGCCCTGAGCTGACCTCGCGCGCAAAACTCACCTGGAGCAGTGGAATCCGACGGCGAAGTCGGCCTTGCGCAGGCGGCGGAGGCTGACGGAGAGCTCCCCGAGGGCGACGTCTGCGCGCGCGCCCTCCAGGGAGAAGATGTGCTGCTCCGTCGTGTCCGTCTGCGCCAGCTCGTACTCCACGCTGCACACGCGCCGCCCCCTCACTCCTCCCCGAAAACCAACACGCTGCGTTCTTTGTAGAGACTCTCGTGTCTACTAAACGCAAAGCGCATGCGCACCCGGATCCTCTCTCACAAGCGCCCCGTTCTTCTTAGGGTGACTGCTGTAATGGTTAATTCTATATTTATTCCAATCGGTTAGCTCGTGTGTTCCTCAATTACAGACTAGACCACTTACAGTTTGGGGCAAAATATTGTCATTTGACGCTTGTTTGATTTCTTGACTGTTTCGAGGTTCCGCGCTCGTCAACTGTGATGGCCATTAGTTCCGTGAATGTTTATTATCGCAGAAGGCGGCGGTGTTCCTCCTTCGCTGGATAACGAGCTCCAGTGCCAACCTACACGTTGGCTTCCGAGGTTTCCCTCCTCCATCTGTGGGGCGCTGCTCCCGCCGAGACAATCGCTAAACTCCCGACCAGTGTGGTAGTGTAGTGCATGTAAGTGTAAGTGAGTATAAGTAAGGCGTAGGATAAGACAAGGAATGGGAAGGAAAGATAATGCGCGATCCGTGACCCGGTTGTTAGGGTTCTGTTCCGGCATTCGCTTGGTGTTTCTCATTCGATGCGTCTCGGTCTGCTGCTGGGCAGTCCCATTAGAAAATTTGTTCCGTAAACCGTTGCGTTCTGGTAAGGTAATCGTTTCCCGACGTGATGCGTTAAGGTAGCCGTGAACATTTTCCATGGAGCTCTGACACAAATGTGACGCTAAAAGTAATAACAACATAATCAGGATTCCTAATAAGCATAAATATGATTGTTTCAGTTCCCTGTTTCCTTGCAAGGAATCTCAATTAGAACTGACTAATTTTAATCTGATCCCCTTATAACGATCCTTGATGTAATTCACTAGCTTTATAGATACCAAATGACAAACATTCAAATTAATTAACTGATTGATTAAATAGTGTTTCTGGGAGTGTCAATTGCTAACGTCATATGAAAATTTTGAAAATGTCCCAGGGGTTTTGTGTCCAAGGGGTAAGTACACCCAAAAATTTAAAAAATTTCGGTTTCAAATTCCAGGATCCGTGACATCAGCTAGAATGATTGAGGAATATCGATTTGGAGAAAATCGGATGAACTGATTATGCGCTGGCGTTGTGCACAGACGGACGGACAAACAGACGGACATGCAGACGTTTTGCCGTCAATCAATTTTTCGATGTTAAGGACCCACAAAACATAGATTCTTGCATTACTATGTGTTAGAGGATTCTTTTCTATATTTAGGAACTACAATTATCCTCTTTTTTCTTATTGGGGCCAGGCAATAAATGTTTTTGGGTTCAAAAGTTGCCGTTTTCCGGCACACGATTACAATACTTTCTCGTCTAACGTTAATAAGTGCGAGAAAGTAAAAATCAGCTAATTAGAAAAGGCCATGTACATTTGTTTTTTAAAAAAACTAGTAGTTTTGGGCAAAATTTCTGCCTGAAATTAATGAAACTTATACAGAAGTCCCACCAATTACGGAACCAGCTCCTGGGAATGGATCAGAAAGATATGAAAAATAATTAATGTAATTAAAATGATAATTACTTCTGAAAATTCCAATAATAATTCGATTGTTACTCTATTCAACATTTTGTATTCTCAATGTATCAATGAATTATTTCAGACAATCCGCAAAACTTAATTGAAATTAGAACAATTACGTTTTCTCTCTTAAAAAACGCATTCTTAAAAATACGAAAGGAAAACTGAAAAAAATAAGTACCATAAATGTGTAAAAATTTTTATTTAACTGTAATTTTGTATTACCTTGGTCAAAATTGCACCGATGCATATTTTAGAAGTCAACTGTGGAACGGCGACATGTTGGGTAAGATTAGGTGAGGCGGTTTTGTTTACTTACTGTTAGTGTTACAATGTTCTCTACGTTCAATAAAATGATATATTTCACGTTATTTAGGTCGGGAATAATGTATATATAGATAGAGGAATAGTGAACATGAGCGTAAAATAGGGGCACAAATGTGGAATACCGCAAGATCTGGCTTCGCACATGCAGCTCTGTGGCGAAAAACACTCGAAACGGTGCCCCGATATTATTTTCGTCATGATACATGTCTATTTGCAATTTGGGCTAATTATTAATCATTTATTGCATACCATCAATGATATTACATATTGGCACCCCATTGTTTAAACAATAATGTACTCAAAAATAAGGTTTTTTGAGGTCTTCGAGTTGTATTATTCAGTCGGTGTCTCATCAGTGATTACAGTATAAGTATACCTTTTCATTTTGCTACATTTCACAATCATTTCCTATTTTAGGCAGTGTAAGCAACAGAAAAAAATGGTTTATTTCATATCTGTACCTCTTCATCCATTCATAAGGTAATGGTATCTTCGATTCATATTCATTTGTAATGCTATGTATTATATGGCCTTTAGTTCTGGATGTGCAATTTATATGTGAAATTATCATTGCTTGCCTGTATGAAGTGCTGAAAATAATGGGAGCAATTACAAGTAAAGCAGAAAATATGTTGTAGTTTACTTACTAATAGTGTTGTTGTAGCACCACTAGTTCAGTAAAAAATACTTAAAAATTGTTAAAAGCGTCAGACACCACACTAACCTAGATTGTTTGCTTTGTCTTTTGATAATAAACTATTAATGTTTACAATACAAATCAACAAATATTTATAATTATTATCAACAGACATTATTATTACTATGACATTCATAATAATAATAATAATAATAATAATAATAATAATAATATGCACTTCGCAGTAAATACTATTTAGTATATAGCTGACGTAAAGTGTGAATATTTGTAAATTGTAATTTTAACGTGGAAAGCAATGACAAGTAGACATGCATCCAAATCGTCCAAATATCTTTAGTATAATTATTTTATAATGTCTGAATTGTTGTTCAAAGCCTGGTACCAGATTAACGGCTAAAACCTCCAATCAATGAATAAAATTTAAGGGCTATGTGCGAAATATTCCGAACTTGCAGTTTTGAGCTACAGTTCGTTTAATGTTTGTTGAAAATATATGCAAATTAATGAAATGCCAGTACTATCAGTGAGGTGTTATTATGTTTCCTGGCTAGAAAATGAAAAACGTGTGACGCTGAAAGCAAATAGTGTTGCTAAGAGGGAATTGTGGGTGAGGGCCATCTCCATTGCAACATGCACCCACTCGAAGCCGAGCAGCGCCTGCAGGTCTTTCCAGGTCTCGCCGGCCAGCGACGACACCTCCACCCTCCCGTCGCGCACCACCGCCGTCATCATAGGCTCCGTCTGCAAACGCAACGCACACTCAGCTAGAACTACAGAGGACCACTCCTACCACTTTTGTGTATATATATATATATATATATATATATATATATATATATATATATATTTGTGTGTATATATAAGTGAATATAAAGTCAATTTAATTTGTTATTTATTGCTTTTTTTATTTTCTGAATATGATAAAATATTTGGGCAAAAGTATTACATCAAGAATCAAACTAACAAAATAACAATATTTTTAAATCAGGTGGAAGAAATGCAACACGTCATACAACAAGGCATACAATGTAATTCACAAAGGGGAATATTACTTCAATTATTTCTCTCAAAAAGTAAGGTAGATTATATTGCGGTTGAGCAAAAATATTTTTTCATTCCAAGCCTGCTGCTTCTGAATTTTTTTCAAATAATATTTATACACCAAATGAAATATTGTTAATTTTAGTTTCATATTTAAGTATTATTTCAAAAATTTTACAAAATCCATATTTTATAAACATAGTTTAAGAACGCTTAAGGCATAACATACCCTCCCCAATTATGCCTGTAGCAGCAAAACTACTGCTGAACAAAAACACAAAATTGTTTCCAAAAGTAGCACGCTCGCTGCTTAAAATACGACATTAAATTGGATCATTGAGGACACTGTCTTCCTGACTGGTAAGAATCTCTGCCTGTTTAGAGGCGCCTGAAGGCGAAATCACGAAGGCGAGACCCTCTACCCCCCATATCCCCAAGTTAAACGAGATCGTGGTGAAGGAGACCCTTTGCATTGACAAGGGTCCACCTAATATTTCAGTAATTTCGAGAAAATTGATGTCAAATTTTCATAACGCAACATATTCAGAGAGCTTTTCACTGACAGTAGTGAATTTTAAAGAAGCTATTTGTTCATATATTGTAACACGAGTCTGTTCAAATTGTAGGAGATTGCAGAACCCTATCTGTCTACTATTTTGCAGCAGCGCTTCGGCATGATGCAGCTAGCACCAAAGCATTGGTTTAAATAGAGATCTTTCCTGGTGTGGTGGATTCGCGCTGCTCTGTCGTTCGATGGCGGACTCCCGCCACCAACAGCATGGAAGCGTGTACAAGTCACCGCTAGCAGATAACAGCTTTAATTAATAGTATTCCCGCTGCCACACAGATCAAGGCGCTTTAGCTGCTGCATCCCTTTTTCGTCGTCGCCGACGAGTCAAACTCACGAACCCTCCCTCTTCCATGGCATGCGGCGGTGGAGGCGTGGGAATGGCCCTGTCGCTTATCAAAACCATGCTGCAGTGGCGGGGGCGTGGCTCTAAAGGCGCCTGATTACGGAGCCTGTCGGTGTGTCTCCCTGACAAGCAGCGAGAGTTCACCACCGATAACCTTTTGTGTGAATATCTCCATTTAAACCATTGCTTTGTCAGCACTCGCGCTCTCAGAAGCGCTGCTGCGCTGCGCCATGTGAAGGGGTGCTCACAAACTATCCTCTTGGATTTCCAAAGGTCAGTCCGAGGCCAGCTGTCCGGGAAGCGCTACTCACCGGGCGCACGAGCACCTTGAGCGCGAGCCCGCCCAGGGGCGCGCGGCCGCCGCGCGAGCCCGAGGGCGTCCAGCGCAGCGCGGCGCCGTCCCAGCGCCCGAGCGCAGCGCAGCGCAGCGGGCGCGCGCGCGGGCGGCGCGTCGCCGGCCGCCACAGCTGCGCGCAGCGCCAGCGCCCCGCGCCCCGCGCCGCCGCGCCAGCGCACAGCAACAGCAGCGCGTCGGCCGGCAGCGCTCGGCCCCGCGCCGCCCACTCGCCCCCGCTGCCACTGCCGCCCCCGCGCGCGAACACCAGCCACGTCGACGGCGGCGACGTGCGCAGCCACGCCGCGTGCAGAGCCTGCCGCACCACGGGACTCGTTACCAGGTACAAGTAGGCAATCCAGGGCCTTTTGAACCTTTCTCGTACTTTTAATGGGAGACAACTGCTCACCAGCGAACCTAGTGACCTGACCTGGAAAGTCGGCGACTAATCCGAATTTCAATTCGTATACACCTTTTGGAGTTTTGAGATTTCTAAGTGTAGCAAACGTATTAACTTACATAATCATTATTTCTGTAATTATTTTTATTATATTGATATATTAAATTTTATATTTTTGCAGGAAACATAAATGTACAATGCTACAACCAATAAAAACAGTCATTTGATAATTTAATATCTGCATTTATCTGGAAATTGATAAGTAGTTAGATAATAAAATTCTTACAACTCGAAATCTGCAAGGGCTTAAAGACTTCGTAGCTTAGAATGTCTCATCACGAGGGAATAGAAAAAGCAATTCTTCTTAATTTCATTTGCATAATCAAATACGGTACTCACCTTCCCAGCCATTTAAAAAACAAAACCAAACGAAAATATTTTAATCACTTTGCGAAACTTAAGTAAACATAATCGTAAGTAAACTAAAAATATTTCAAAATTATGCACTTCGTACTAGATATCACAATAGTTATGACAAGTCGGGCTACTATGGGCGCTACCTTCAAATGTCTCCTTTTTTACCGCAGTGTTCTGCATTGTCTCTATAGTATTTGACGAGCACTTCAAAGTTACGAGCTCTACGGAGAAGGGGAAGCCTCCAGTCGGGAGCTGCAATACCAAGAACTTAGGTTGTCACGAAGCTCGCGATTGGATGACAGTGCTTCCATCTTCTTCCAGTTCGTTACCTTGAAATGCCTTTCAGTTTAAATCGGTGTTTACATGGGTGAGCATTGATGATACTCATTGTTTCTGCGGGACAAACCTCTTTTCGTGAATTCCTTAAGTGTAGTCCAAGGTACATTCCAGGAAGTAACAGTGTTTCTCCTCTATGAAAATGTGAGATACCGCGCCGATTTTCTCGTCTACTTGCACGGTTTTTCCTGACCAGGTATCTCCCACAGCGTGTCCCCCAGACAGGACACGTTCTAAGCTACTGATAGATGCTGAAGTGTAGGTATGCAAATATGTGTATGTGCAAGGGGCGGGACAAGAATGAAGGAGTAAAGATCGCGCGTGAGGCATGCAAAGTATTATTGCGTACCGTTTCGGCCCTTTTTTTGCGTGCAGCTCCGGCTTTTGTCTGGTATTTCTGGGAGAAACCACAGAAAACTACCCTTCACAGCTGTCGGCCGCCATTTTTCCTCCAGGCAGCGGCTGAATTCGACCAAGCTATCTAACTAGCATCTAACATCCGCTATCGTCGGGATTCCAACATCAAAGACTTGGGCTCAACGATGCTGCAGAGGTCACGGTGTTGGCACTGAGATATCGCATTCATCAGAGTAGCTGAAACGATGAAAGAGTTCAGAAATGTATAGTATAGTAAAAAAATTGGATGACGTAACACCCTTCGATAGTATTGCTATGCAAAACATTGGTAATTAGTATTACGGAAACAAGGCAGTCTTGCCTGGACGACTGCGAACATTTTGAGTCAAGCTAGTAACATTGTAGCGATTACCGCCGACCCGGGTGTTCCATAATCGTTGCAGTACCGCGCGTGGCAAACAATCTGTGAGAGGAAGCCGTCGGCAGTGGCCGTATGGCCACGGTTTTGACCAGGCCTGTGGTTGTGTACGTCTCGTGTGAAGAATTACTGTTATATAGTACACTCACACAGAAAAATGTGAAATCCATCTGAAAGTCATTTTGTTAAAATACATTCCACTGATGGGAGTTCAGATGATTAGAGTAGTGATCGTCTTCGGGTGTAGACAGGTACTAATGAGCTTTAGATGTGCTATGACGATTACGGCGATTATGGAAATCAGAGGTATGCAGAATGTTGGAGAGCTAATGATGCGAGGAGCAACTGAATGCCAACCTCGTATCTGCATTAGTCAGCAACATTGCTGTTCCGGGGTTGGTGCAGGAACTCCTCGAAAATACTTTTTTACGGAAAACTGCGTCTATTATGATACATCATTGCTAAATCATGTTGTACAGGAAACGAAAAGAGCATGTGGTTGAAAGGCATGTCATTGAATCCGAAGGGAGAACAAGTGCCCCCAAGAAATTATATAATCCGCCTCTGTCCGTTTTGGAGGTGGTCTTAATTGGTTCACATTCTTTCATCCCAAAACTTTTCATTCAAAAGTGAAAACACTTGTATGCTCCTTATAATTAAGGCTGATCGTACATTACTGTATAACGCAAAACGAAAAGATTCGAATCGCCTACTAGACTACTAATGCATGAGGAATGCTTGTTCCTACATTGAATTTATGTTGTCTGTGAGTCTTTATCGCGCAGCATATGGCTTGTCTGGGACGCGTGTAGACACACATGCGCTTCGTAGTTACGAATTGCTTGTACATATGCATAGAAATTTACATTAATGTAGCGCGTGAACACATCAAGTGAGGGCGTTGCTTCTGGTATCACCGTTAAGATCCTGTGAAGAACTACCAGCACGTATTGTAGTATAGTAAAAGATAAGCGATATAGTGAAAGACAGTCAATGATCTCAAACATTCGCAAATGCCGTGTTATTCCTAGAATTACAACAGCGTCGGGAAAAAATCACGATAACAGAACAAGTATGCTGGCGCCCACGCAATCATATTAAAAAGAATGATAATTAAATAACATATTAATACTAAAGGTTCGTTAAGAGTTCGTCACAGGCGATTGCACGAAGAAACAATGGCGTGGAGCTTACAGGTTACATACCCTTTTGGTTTTTAATGAAAGCCTTCACCAGCAATTGTAGCGGCAGCGATAGCTCAGCGACCATCAAATTCAAATCCTAATGGTAGCCGATGTCTGACACTAGCTACATAGTCGGGTTGAATTCAGCTATCGACTGGAGGAGACTTCTAGCTGTCGAGTGCTCTGTGCGCTTGTTTTCTTGAATTTCTGTGACCAACATCTGGCGAATGCCGGAGCAGGACCCTAACAAAAGAGCACGGACCGCGCGGGGTTATTTCTTCTCCATTCGGGCTCTGTTCTTCACTTCCACACACAACGCGCGCCACTCGAG